TATGAAAAAAGATTTTGACTGACATAGGAAAAAGGTCCATTTTTGGGAATCCTACACATCAGCTGGTGGTCCTTGGGAAAAAGATGACGGCCACGCAAAAGATTTCTGAAAAATTGAAGTACAAGGCGGTAAAAAAACCGAACACAGTTGGCTCTCTGCCAGACCTCCCTTGGGCACTTTTTTTTTCACCGGGTATTTTTACGTTTGCTATTTTTGCAGCAGCTGCCGTGAAACTGAATAAGCGAAAAGCAGATATAGCAATAAACTGGATGGGTGGCCTGCATCATGCGAAGAAGAGCGAGGCAAGTGGATTCTGCTACACAAACGATATTGTTCTTGGGATTCTTGAGCTCCTCAAGTATCACAAAAGGTTCCAGTGCTTTCAAATCTTATAATTTTCACAAATGCAACTGCAATTCAGCAGCGAAATCGCGGCCCTTAGATATAGCTTTTTTCAAGAATTGTAATACGTTATAGATTTGTTTTTATTTCCGCGCACGGCTTTTTATAGATTTTTCGGATGAGTCACTGGGAGCATCAAGTTTTTCCTTTCAATATACTTTTTGAGGTTCAATCCTCCAAGTGATTTGTAGGGCATATTCATTTTCTGGAGGAAGAGTACTGCTAAAATTTGTACATAAAAGCTTAGATCTTTTCAATATGTAGAACAAAAACTGTGAGATTCTTGGAGGAGGTTGCCGCTGATTTCTAATTTTTTTTTGTTACAGATATGGATGCTTTTTCTTACTTATGTCATTTGCTTTTTTTTACAGCGAATTCACGCTTAGGAGCATTTTAATTGCCCTGGAAAATAAATTTCACAGGGAACACCTACGAAGTTTCAGCCCCTTAACAAGTCTGGTTTTCGAGATCGCTTTCCCGCGAAAAAAACGGCATATTTTTTAAAGCGTCCATAAACGGCACCCAGGCGTCCATTGGGTTGGGGCCTACTACGCGGATTTACCAGTAGGGGAGCTGACCGCTCTGTAACTTATTCGTTTGTTTCGGCGGAAAATTTGTACTGATTTTTCTATACCAGGAAATCAACATAACCTTTTGCTTGCTTTCAAAGAAATTTTAGAAGAAACAGACTTGCTAGTGTGTGTATGTGTGTGTGTGTGTGCGTGTGCGTGCATGTGGGTGGGCGTGGGTGTGGGTGTATGTGCGTGTGGATATGTGTGCGTGTGGGTGTGTGCGGGTGTGTGTGCATGTGGGTGGGTATGTACGGTTTCTTTTGATGAAGTATTATCTCTCGATCTACTTCTGAGTGCTTCA